AAATAAATTTAAACCTAACGTGGTCGCTTTCACCGCTTGACTTGACATCTGTTGTGCGGAGGAAGGAAAATGAATTAGTGGGTTTTCGAATTTTATTTGTTTAGAAAACTAAACAGGGAGGTTTAAATCAACCGAAGAAGCGAATACAAACTCCAACCGGCCATAGACTGTCAAAAAAACGACGATAAAGCCGCACCTTTTGATGAGAAAAACTGCTTTGAAGTTCGGAAGTTCACGACGACGTAAAACAGGTCCATCTCAAGTCGTCGACAATAAAATGACGACGGAATTCTTGGTTCGCGCTTGCGCAGTGACGTTCTCGCTACTTCCGGTCGTCGTCCTCCGTTCGTCGTCGTAGTTGCTTAAGCTCCCTGTTATCTCAAAGAGAACTGCCGTAAGCGTTTGTGAAAAGTTACTTTGGTGGTGCACAGTTAATCAGGATCGATATAAACGGTAAGTTCTACCTTAAGAATAGTCAGTTTATGTTTTGAACTAGGAAGTAAATTTCGATCGCGTAGTCTGATCATCCGAAGGAAAGTAGTCTTGAAAAGGACCATTGTCGGTTACGAAAATGTTACTGACGTTTGGTCAACCTCAGGAGACAAAAAATGTCATCATAGACAAGTTATGCCACCATGAGAGGGGCCTTAGAATCTCTAAGTAACATTTTGCCATTTCGCCATTTATCATTAACATCAAGAGAACCTTGTCATTCGTTCAAAACAGTCGTGTCTTAAGACAGGGAAGTAGGCACTTCATCCAAGGAAGTTTACATGTTCGAGATCGGAGAGGACCCCTAACACCTTGTCAAACTCGTGTTTATAAAAGTCGGTAATTGTTGCACGATTTTATTTTCCAAACTAGCATTTAGTTCTATGCAAATAAGCCAGCAATGGCATTCAACGACAGCGTTAAAACAATGACTGTGTGTTCCGATCTTAATTCCCTTCGTCATGCTTCGTGGTCCGTAATAAAGAACTTGATGCCGACAAACAGAAAACTAGCGCACAGTAACTTAACATTTAACGGAGTTACGGCGGCCAACGGGCAAAGCTCAGCAAAGAACTGCTTTTCGTGGCCAAATTTTCTTTGCTATACCTTATCAAATAATACTGACTTTGAGGAGGGTAACTTGAGACCGGGAGAGGAATTGATTGATCATGTACACGTAATTGTTAACATATGCGGAAAACGTTTATAATGAGAAGAAACCATAGTAACCACGTTCAGTAAACTTTGTCCCCCTACGTGTCATGTAAGATATATGGATCCGAAATGTTTGACTCTTTCGTTTCACATAGAATATAAGGATACGAGGAAGTTTTATAAAATGAGAAATTGTGAGAAAAAAATCAAACCTATTAGAGTTCTGGAGTGTTGAAGAAATTGAAGCAATATCTTAAGATGATACTTGACATTGCACAGAATGCCCTGACATCATTAACCATTCGTAACTATTGAGGCGCGCAAATTTGAACGATTTGTGAACAGATGTAATATTTAGCCATAACTTGCCGGCATTTGAAGAATTCCATCACTGTGTAGGTTCGTAATTAAAATTAAAAGAAATCCAAAGCACAAAACAACCAATTCAGATTTTCAAGTAACCCAACTCAACCCAGCTGAGTTTTGGATAATTGAAATATGACTAAAAGATTGCTGTATTTGGGTGAGTGAATTTTGCGATTTTAAAATAGATGCAATAAAGTGATAATCCAAATTTGTATCGTGAAATTTTTAGTCTTAATCGAACTCGCGCAACCGCTCTGCGTGCTCGTATGATTTTAGACCTAATAATATGAGTTTAGACCTAATAATATACCTGCAAAAAGTTCAGTATGCTCATCAGCCGAGAACTCGTGAATTAGTCGCACAAGGTGCAGATAGCTAAAATTGAGTGGAAAAATTTGAAATTAGACTAATTGACCAGTAAGTCGCGATAGTGCAAAAAAAAAAAAAAATGGCGGACACGTTAGGAGAAAGTAACAAAGTGTCAGTTAATTCAAAGTTTTAGGTAGAACGAGAGAACAAAAATACCCATTGTTAACATCATTAACAAGTGATCACATGACTTTTCGCGTTCAATTTGGGATGGATTTTTCATATTGAAGACTTCGTATTGCACTCACCCTACGGTCTGTTGTAACATTCCGTTTGTTCTTACAAATCAAAGTTGGATGGCGTTGAGGGGCTTGATCAGCTACTAAAACTCCGAATATCCTTTGCTATTTACCTTCGAGAAACTTACGTCCGGTTTGCGCCCGAAAATATTGAAATCGTTGCAGGAATAAATGGATTAAAATCATCTGTCATCTCACTGTTTTAGTATATACTATAGCAAATATTCACCGAGGTGGAGGTGGCTAGTGGTGGATGTTTATCTAATCGCTTCACGGCTCTGTAAATTTCCACTACTAGCCACTAGCCACCTCCACTTAAGTTGACAGTTGTCAACGATAACTTGGAAAAGCTGCTTGAAAAGTCAGAAGTAGTTATGACTGCCAAACAGTGGAAACTGAAAAGGGCTTGAGTAGCTAGGTATTCTACTTAACTTGCCTTTAAGCTCGCTCGTCTTTAAACTTGGGTTAGAGCACGAAATTAATCAACGGTGTGAATAATCTAGGGTAGATCAGAGAGGAGGTCTGTAACCATGGCAAGTTATAGGTGAATTCGCTCACACTCTCTAAACAGTTGGTTTACGCGTCAATGCGCGTTGGTCAAGATATGATGTAGGAGAGGCCTGTTGAGAGGACGAAATATGCGAAGAGTTGCTCCCCGCGTAGCCGACAACAACTTTGACTTTTTCAATTCCGTCCAAACTTCTCAAGTACTTCATATCTCGATGAACGCTCGACTGACACGTGAATCAACTAACGTTGGAATTAAGAGGGGAGAGTCAGCACTTTGTAAACTCTGATATTTTCACTTAGGGTATGATGTTTCCATCGTTTGCCACATTTGAAATTGCAGTGCGCTGTTTGGTTTTAAATGAGTTGCAAGTTAAAAAGAATGAAGTTACTAATTCTTATGATTAATTTTTCAAGGATATGGCATATCAGAATTTTATTGGTATTTGTTAATGGCGACGAGGAGTGTAGCTTTTAAAAGTGTTATGTTGATTGTCAGTCTATTTTCTCAATAATATCGGTATCAATAATATTTCTACGGAGTTTCTCTATTACAAGGAGGTTTTTCTAATGTAAGGATTTTTATCTACGTACCTTCATCACTAAGTTAGTATTTTGGAGGAGATTTTAGTTTATAGACTGAAGTGAAGAAATAAACGATTGTTTAATTGTGTCTGTTTCGTGAAGCATAAACGCGAACACGGTGTGTAAACGACTGATTAATATACATTTCCGCGGTGTTGGTAGTTGAATTCTTACAACTGAAATACATCACATCGATGCGTTATAGCCATTTTCAGAAAGTAGACGGTGTACGAGGTGGGATCAGGATGAAAAGAATGTCAACGTGAATTGGTGCAATATCGTTCCATGTATATGAACACTGAGATGTCTCATAAACATCTGTGTGCCCTGCGAGCAGAGGTCTGAACTGGTTCCTAGCTTCCGGAGTAGACAGAACGCATAACACACATGAACTGTTCATGGCGTAACTCACCATTTAAAAGTTCTGTAGCGATCAGTATCAGTAATAAAGCAGATGCACATGATCTTTACATTCGGTTCTGCGAGACTGCGTCTTAAATTGTCTTTCATTAAAAATTGTAATCAATATCCGAGTCTATGTAAACAGAACATTACATATCTGCTGGTAAAGAGAAGTTTTTCTACTCGTGTTGATAACAGAGGGTGGCTTTGAGATTTTCGGTTTTGCGGTTTTGACTGTATTTTGGTTCGGTTTTTCGGTTTTAGGCCAAAAAGGTTCGGTTTTTCGGCTTTGATGTTCAGAGCGGTTTGCGGATTTTACATGTTTTTGCATTCGGTTTTCGGTTTTCTCGAAAACTCTGATGCTGTTTTCGGTTTTTCCTTTTTGACCCCTTTAAAGGTGAAAGTGTAGCGGTTTTGTCAGGTTTGCGAGCGGTTTTCAGTTTGTTGCCTTTTTTCGTCGGTTTTTCGGTTTTGGAGGTTTTTTCCTCCAGTTTTGCGGTTTCCTAGAGGCTCCAATGCCCCCCTCTGTAAGTTCCGACAAAACATTTTCGTATTGAATGTCGGGACCTCTACTTTCCAATCTAGTATTTTTCGCACATTTCCTATTCGGTTGGTGAGGTACACCAAGGTGTATTTTGATCAAGGATGGAGCGAAAAGGAAGAAAACCTAGCTCATAGTAACCCACAGCCCGACGACAGACAACTTCTTTAATTATGTTGATAATGTAGCTCCATGCGCTTACGCACAGGGGGCTAAACTCTATGAGATGATTATATTTACAAGCTCTCCACGAGAAGACATTATTATATAGCTTTGAACGGGAATTTACGCTCCGCTATGGAACTCCGTAAATGGAAGAGGGAATAAACACTAACCTACAGATTGTGTTGTTTGGGCTATTTTTGCTCTCTGGTAGCGATTTCAAGTCGTTTCGTCGCGTTTTAGCTGAGATTCCATCCCACTACTGCCTGCACTGAGAAGAAGGAAAGGGAGGAACGCTTCGTCAGACTAACGGATAGATGTCACTGATCCACTCTCGAAAATTGCTTGATTCTCAGCATAGACCACGACTCCTTGCTTCGAAACTCAGACTAACGAAATCTAGATAGACAATCACGTAGTGGGATCTTATCTATTTATTCATTAAGTTATAACTCGATTGCCATTGAAAAAATATACGCTTTTAACCTCAAGCATAAACCATATCATAATGACTCCCGTATTTCGGCACGATCGAGAGCTCCCGCGTTTAAACATTTTAAGCAACACAACACTATAACTTCAGACAATACAAAGAGTGACAACTTGTGTGAGCCTGTCATATTTCCTCATAGGTCAAAATCTTCCTGCGAATAAAACTGACCCCCCGACGCTTTTACTTTCAGTCGCTCCTTTAAAATGGCGGAAGCTTCAAAAACTATTTTGCCTTTGGGTTATGTAGACGAGTTTGTAACTGAAGTTGAAAGAGATTTGGAGTGTTCAATCTGTCACTTTCCACTTAAGGACCCTGTTCTCACCAGATGTGGACACCGATTCTGCAAAGAATGCCTCGAGGAGAATTTTAGATGGTGAGGTTTGTTAGCAACACGAAATGTTATTTTAGCAAATTCATGTGGTTTTACGTAGATTTCTATGTTATTTATTAAATTATTTACTCCTGACTTTTCTGAATCATAGAGCCGGTGTGACTTTTATCGGCAATTCCTTTGGATCCGAAGAGAAATTGAACGAACAGCGTTTTGCGATCAATCACTTTCTCATTTTCGTTTAACGGTGTAATTCTCCAGCCGATCAATACATGTCTTTACAAGTCCATTATCGACAACATAATGTTAATAATATTAAAAGTTCTTTTAAATTAGGCTGGCTCAATTCAGCACTAGATGTACTCAATCGCATGAAGAAACAGACCGGAAGATTCACAGCATACTGACTGCTTCGACAAAGTTCCGCTCAAGTCTCTCATATTAACCATATAACTTAAACCCCTCACTATTAGTCCATTCTTATTTATTATTCCTTATCTGGACAGGGGGAATATTCGAGAGACATAGTTTGTGGAATGATGTCTTTATTCTGATAGATAATCTGGTTTTTTACTTGCAACAGAACTTGCAGTGACCTTGACCGTAAAAATAATTATATTCTTGCATCGCGGATATGACCGAACTAAAAAGGCTTAAGGTTACTCCGTATGTGCCTGCAGTTTATATTTCTTTCGATGCGTGATTTAATTGTATAAAATTAGTATTCCATAATTAACAATTATTCCACGAGCGCGGGTTGGATATGAGATGATAGATAGCCAAAGAGGCGCGTAGCGCCGAGTTGGCTATAATCATCTCATATCCAACAAGCGCGAGTGGAATAATTGTTTTACTAAAAACACCCCCAAGATATTTGAAAAATCTAACCAAATCTTAAATTTTTTTAGCTCCCCCTTTTAATTTTTAGCTGACGCGTACGCCTACCATATTTGTAGATTATGGTATATTGCCTCATACACCATAACGGCTAAGCAAATAAAAAGTCTGGAATTGCATTATCCGATGATCCAGTTTTTGATAATTAAAATTATTCCCGTGTTATTCCCTTGATTTCCAAAGTGATAGCAATCATCCAAAAAGTTGAACATGTCTGCCTGTTCTTTCTGTAACTTGAAGGCCAAACGGTGACCCGGAGACCTCGTGCGTGGTTATCCGAGTAGGTCTGTCTCGGACTTGAGAGGATAACGTACAAATGAAACATAGAAATAAAAAACAAATAGACGGGGGTAGAAAGACAGTATAAGAGTAGTGACGTTTTCAGACATTGTTGTAACTATATAAACGTTATCTATTATTACACCATTTTATTAAATGGCTTTGGCTTGCGGCCGATATAACGCGCGCTCTGATTGGCTAAGAGCGACATCAGAGCAGGGCATTATGCAGCGGTAATTCCCACGAGCAGATTATGGATTATGCAAATTAGAAAGAGTACCGAGGTGATTCTTTTTTCTTTTTAAAAATGCGACCGCATGAAAACGATGAAGGCCGAGTAACAGCAGGAGAGAATATACCTTATTTATACAGGAGACTAAATTTTTTAGAAGAACAACGAAGGTACAGTTTTAAATCACTTATGAGATTGTGCTGAGAGTGACGAGGTAAACAAAGAAGCAAACATTTAAGCTCACATCTAGTAAAAGAAAACGTGAAAATTTCGCATTTGAAATCGTTCAATAACATGATAACATTTCAACAAAATTTTCTTAAGTACATTTTGAAAAGAGGTCGTTTTTGACTGAGAAACACTAAACAAAAAATATATCTAGTAGTTTCGACAATTTCCGAAAGATAAATCTTGTCGCAGTTAACTTGGCAGTTCTTATAGATAGATTCACTCGCTATTAAACAACCAATTTTAAATCAGCTTCCAGGAACATCACATGTAAACAATCGAACGGTTTCTGTTGGCAGCAGTATTTCTGATTGCTTCATGTAGTTTTAGATGTTCAGAAGGCCTGTAAAGTTCAGTTCATCCATAAATCTCCCGGAAATCGAAGACATATTGTCGAAATGAAGGCGCAGATAAACAGTGCATTCCGAAGCATTTGTAATTGGATTTTCTTTACCGGGGATAAGTGCTGGCAGCAAGGAGAACCTTAGGAAATTTTGGGAGAACTTAGGACAATTTTGGACCAATTGAAGGATGATGGTACAACAACTCTTGTGGTTATTGTTACTTTCCAACTGCCACTATAAAGAAGGGTCATCAGTGGGGAATCAGATAAAATCTGTCCCATAGTCATAGCTGTGCACAAGTAGAAGTTAGTAAAAAAATTTGCTGTAAAAGGCAATAACCCTTTTTCGCACAGGTACTGATTTCAACTGACATCATTTCATCAGTTGAAAATTCAAACGTCGTAACACGTGTCTGACTCATTTATGAACTGTATTTCTCAACATTTTCATAGGCAGGAGGCTGATGAAAAACCCTTCACTTGCCCGGAGGACAGAGGAACTCTGGACAGAAAGCAGGTCATCAAAGTTAATTGCTTACTGTATCAGAGGTCAATAATGAAAACATTTAACCGTCTGAGTTCACTGTGGAGATCTTAATGCAAATTC